TTTTTTTTTTGGGGGGGGGGGGGGGTTTTTTAGAGTTAGCTGATGAGAAAGAAGTATGCAGTTATATATGGAAAGAGATATTTACTTCATCTATCAACTGTAGCTAAAATGCAGACCTTATTTCACAGGCATAAATAATATCCTGAATAGATTTAACACACATGAGTAATAACTTTTCTCCCCAAACCACTGTGGCCTTCCAGAGTTAACCAGAGACTGGGGAAAACATGGCTAAGAAGTAAACTATCTTTTAAACTAGAATGCAAGCCTGTTCTGTTATTTACTAATGAATAGAAAAATACTACTTAATGAGATTTTAAAATATTATTAGCACTTATACTACTAAGTAATCTTTACATACTGGGTTTTCACTCTTTTCCAAAATTTTCCATAACATAAAAAGTCTCCCCTGATCCATTATTTTTTCTTTATTAAAGTAAATTTTAATATTCTAAGTCACAAGGGCCTCTCTCTAAAACTTCTAACAAATCATAATTCCAAAACCTCTTTGCCTAGTTTGCTTCAGCATATACAGTCATACAAATCTATTTAAATATACTTTGGAAAAGGTGAGAGATTCAAGAATTTTTATATTTAACTGATTATAAATAGATGTCATGGTTCTCAATTTTCTAAACCTTAAGAAATTTTCCCCAAAGTTTTAGCATTTAACTAGCCTACAACATCCAGTTTATGAGAAGAAATAGCCTAAGAGAAAGTAGAAACAGAGGGAGGGGGAAAAAGGGTAGAACGAGAGTCAAACCAAAAGTCTACCAGGAAAAAAAAAATCATAGCAAATCTTCCTACACAGACATTACAGGTACAAGCCAAACTGCAATTTCCTTGTATCACCATGCAGCTGTCTGGACTTGTGGCAGGCACTTGACAAGGTATGTTTGATCACAAGTACCAAAAGTTCAGGTAAAGAAAACAACTAATGTATGATCTCATATACATCCATTCATACAATTTGTTACTTATATTATTAATTCAAAATTTAAATGGGGGAATATTTTATGGATATTTTCTATCTACGTTAAACTTAGTTGCCACAAAAATCTCAAAGATGTGTGAGGCATGCTTCTGAAGCTTATAGTTTGATAGACGAATAAGCAATGAACACAAGAGCACAAAAACAAGGCAGTAAAATAAGGACTTTATGAAAGACTAAAGCACAACCTGAGTTAATTTCTTGAGCTAATTTTAGAGGAAGGGTAAAATTTCAATAAGCAGAGAAGGGGAAGAAGGAAATGCCATAAAAAGGAAAACTATGAATAAATGTGGGAGGGTAAAAGGATGTTTGAAGAACAGTGAGGATATCAGTTAGACTAGAACAGAAAAATCCTGTGGAAATTAAGAGGCCACAATGTAGAGGCTTTGGTGTTTTATTGTAGAGACCAGGTCCAACTGCTGAAGACTTTTGAGCCCGGGAGTGTAATAACAAAAGCTCTATTTCAGTAAGATTATTCTGGAAATAATAGAATTAATATAGAAGGGATAGTATGCGGGTAGATCAGATAGAAAACTACTATAATACTCCCACATTCCTGAGCCCATACACTTAAGTATGTAAGTCAACGTAGCTCAAGTTACTAAATTTTATATACATATCTTAAATACAGTATAGAACTTCTACACTGATTCTAGAAACTTGAAGTTACACACAATTTTTTTTTTTACCTTTCCTTCCTATATTCACCTTAGTTAACTTCTGGCTTGAAATTTTTATTTTACCTTTGTTCACCCAATCTTTGCATTAATGACTTGTCATCATTCTTTCATTCTTTACATATTAGCAAAATCAACAAGATTTATGTCATTGCTTAATCAGAAGAGCATTTGAAGCAACTGTTTAAGTCCCACTTTGTTAAAGCAATTGCTTTATATCACACACAATAAATTTCCCCAATTATGCATATTTAATTTTCTAAGAGAAAGAGTCGTTCTTGCAAACAGATTATACCTACAAAACCAAAATAAAATAAAAGTTAACTATCTAGTGAACCTGTAATAGTTACTTCATAGAAAGAGTCTTTAACAGATTGGCTGCCATAAATATTACGAAAGCAGGAACTACTTTCTTTGCTTTGTTTATATAATCTAGGCGACACATGAATGTCCGTCTTCTAGAAAAAGAGCAAAAACCTGGTAAATTGTCAACATTTCATAGATTAAGATAGTCTTATTCTACTTGATTTCCCAAAGAGAGAGATTTATAAAGTATTAACTTTCATCTAATAAAAAATAGTCATCCGAAAGGTAATTTAGGTCATTGAAATAGTAATACATATGCCCTACAGAATATTATGCCTGACTTTTAGTAAACCAGAGTTTTGTAACGTTATAGAACAACAGACATTAATTTGAAAAAGAGAAGAGAATGATTCATTCCATTTGAGGTTACCTAAAGAATTGCATATGTTTTGGGACCTAGGATTAAGCAGAGGATGGTGTCCCAGTTTGTAACAGAGCCTTGTCTCTGCTTCCAAGACTTTCCATTTGAGTGCAAAAATGTTGCCACTTATCATTGACCACTGGAACCTCTCCAACACAGTCCAGCTTCCTACTCAGAGAAGCAGTATGCCAGCTGACTGGTTCAGGGCAATCGGACAACAGCTCTGAGCCTAATGGTCATCAAGAAACAAAGATGTGACCATACTCTGGAAGGGAAGATGTAAGGAGGTGAGAGACAGGGAAGCACAAAATTAACCAACATAGATGTCCAGAAAGATACACCTACGCAGAGAGAAATGCTTTACCTAGAGATATTCAGCAAGGAAGAGAATTATTTTTAATTCAAGGTAAACAAAGATACAAGTTTAAAATTGAGGGAGCCCAACTGATAGGAACAAACTTGGTTAGTAGTTTTATAACTACCTTGATTGGGCAAGGACCTTTCATAGATGAACATTTAGAAAATGTAGCTTATTAAATAAATTCGTTGAAAGGTGTCCTGTTTCCTAAAAACTGCACCTAATTTTAGGGTCTCTGCTTTAGTGCGACTCCAATTCGGCATGAGATTTCAAATTGAAGGGGGAATGGGTGGGGTGCAGAACTCTTGAAATTTTTACTGCATGGAAATAAAAGTATTTTTAAACCTTCTTGGGGGTGAAGAGTTAGGCAAGAATACGTGGAAATTGTCAAGTGCTTCTCTACACACCCACCCACCAGATACCATCGCAGCCGACTAAGGGAGTCTCCCTCTTCTTGCCTGACAGCTTCACTTTCTTTGAGGTCTGAAGCTGGTGATCGCACTGGCCCGTCATGGTATTTTCAGTTAACAAAGCAGTTACTCAACAGGGGAAAAAGCCACAAAGGAGCAGAGCAGCTGCTGCTGCACCCGTGATGCAAGTGCAGGATGAGCCCCGGGCCGCCACCGCCGCCTCGGCTCCTCCGTGACGTCCGGGAGGGGTATCCCCGGCTCTCAGGAAGTGGTGGCCGCGGGCGACTCCGCCCCCACGCTGCTCGGGTGGCCAGGCCCCCGGGTGGCGGGGCGGCCGAGC